CAACTCAGAGAAATTAATAATTATAGATTTACAACATATTTTATTATTTATATAATATTTATAATCCATGATATTTCTATACTTCTATTATTTTAAAGCAAATATTAATTGTACATTATTATTATTTAAAATTATATGAAAAGTTCAGTTAGTTTAACTTGTTTAGATCTTGATGCACAGTTATTTTGTGTATCAAGGCATTTTATAATTTAAATGCATTGGACATTGGAGACAATACGTTTATGAATATGTTCGTATGTAATGGAATCACAAACACGAATAAATACAAATAGGAAATAGTAATGTTACTATCGAGGTTACTATTTCACAGAACATAAACTAGAAAAATGATTTAATCAACGCGATAATGGACAGTGAAAATGTCCCCATTCCTGAAAAAATATCCACTATTTGGAGATGTCCGATAAGGTAGGTTTCACACTGTATAGTTTTGTAGATACCAATATCGACAATATCACAACTTTTAAACTAAGAAAACGTTATAATCGGGCCATCGGGSCWYATGAGTTCATGCTTTGCTAAGTCATATTTAATGAAGTATAAAATATATGGGAGTTCTAATTAATAACCATGGTTACAAAATGATTTGCAAAATTCCTGAAATTATATATGGTAAAGAGAAAAATATGACAAATCTAAGATTACACGAAGACATGACTTTCAATATACACCAATTTACTCACACCTAATCACCATTCATTTAAACTTGACAACGTTAAAAAAATTTTTACTGTCCAATGCAACTCCTTAAGTAAATATAAATTATTTAATTAAGTATTTTGTATTGTTTAATAAATTGGATTTAAAATGAGCTACTGAATATTTTTTAAATTGATTATTGAGAGATATTTTTAATTTATTTTTTGAAATTGGGTACATTAATATAATAAAATATAACTTTTAATAATATGAATGGACATTTTTTTGTTACTTAAAATTTACTTATAGTATTTTTATACCTACATATTTTTAGATTTTAAGTGCATATAAATGCATATTTTCCCAGCTTTTAGTGCATACTTATTTAGGTATTTTTCAGAGCATGAACTCATGAGCCCTGGTTGTAATATATTATGTATATTGTTATAATATATGCTTGATACCTATGCGATCGTAAATATTACGTATTTACTATTTACAGAATTCCCCAAATAATAATAGATATTATAATAAGGTATACACCGCTGTATTTACCCTCTAAAACAAAACTGAATATTCAGTATTCAGTATAACTTGATATGTTATAAACATTACCTATATAGTTTACTTAATATGTATTCTTTAATTTTTTATAATTTGGTTTGGTAATAATGAAAAGTCTCAGCCCTCGTTTTCTCAGACAATTAAATGACAAATATAATAAAATAAATTTGAAATAAGGAGGAATGAACACCTAATGACTGCAGGTGCTACAGCATAAGTTTTTTCCAAATGAATTTCTATATTTTTTTTTCCATAGATCAATTTCAAAATAACAAATAGTTTGCTTGTTTTATTAAAGAACTAAATAACATACTACAAAATGTAAATGATTAGCAAACATTCATCATGCAACTATTAAAAAAAATGGTAAATATGCACAATTTTTCTATGATTGACGAATTATGTACCATTTTCATTATTAAAACTTTGGTTTATAACATGGATTTCTAGCTTAGTATGCTATAAATGGAAAATGTTTGGAAAAATATACAACCCTAAAACTTCCAAGCACTATTTATTATCAAAAAATTTCAATTTTAGTAAAAAAAAAATATACCACAAACACATCGTTAGTACCTACCTACTTAACCCATACTAATTAGCGAGTAAAAATATCATTAATAGTGAGAGAGAATCCTTTTGCCACTMTATAGTCTATACTCTTTACATATAATAATCATTATTATAACTATATTATATTGTAGTAATAGTTAATATGGCACAATTAGATAATATTATGTTTTAATGTTATTGAACATCTCAGTATTACAAAAATTGTGTAATCTTATCATTGTTCTTATCAGAAAATTATTTTTAAAAAATTGCATGAACACAGAATAATCTGTGGTATAACTATATTAGTTTACCTATTAGATTTCATAAAATATACAAAAGATATACTTGATAATGCTATTGCCAATTATTATTGAATTAATAGCTCAAGCCTATTGTAATATACATGTTTGAATGTTTGATGACTTTGAGCGACTTTTTCTGGAAATTTTGAACTTATAAACGATACAAAGGTTAATATACAATACCAATCCAATAGCAGTGGGACAAAGAATGACACATTATTGTTACTTCATGGTCTTATTGTATTGGTGCTCATAAAGCACGRGGTGTACTTCACATTGGATGAACTCGTATCACGTATCACCACTAGCCCTAAGTGCCTTGATCTCTACAATGATGATACATAGGTGCCTACCTGTCAATTTTTTGGCGTCCGTCTTACTGTTGGCCTGCACCAGTGACTTCGGCGTAGGCACGTTCAATTTTCTCTCCATCTGACGGTTGTCCGACATCGGTGGTGGTCGCACAGGGGTTGAATGTGTGGTCTCCAGGAGGAGAATATGATGTACGTGAACCGGACGGCGACATTGTATTCATTGAAATGCCATTGTCACACAAACGAATTTCAAAAACAATAAAGTTGTCGTCGTTGCCCACGAAATTGGGTAGGTGATTGGGTTCGACGGACGAGRCGGGGGAGTGGCGATCGGAGAGTTAGTCCCTCTCTGTTCGCGCGCTAAATCAGCGAAAATAATATCAGGAGAACGATTGATCAACGTACGAACTTCTGCGTTTGACGAATTCAAACTTGCAATGTAAGGTTTAGCGCAAATATCACGTTCAAGGCGATGAGTTGAACACTGCTCTTCAAATTGTGCGAACGCTAGGTGAGGACGTCAAGTGCATTCGCTAAAATTGTCGTTGCTACTCACTTGATGTCCGGCCAAGATGGCTTATTATTTATAGTTGACACGTCGTGCACGTCTTGCAAAATCGCAACGAACAACGAACGAATAACGACTCGACGACGACAGTCGTTAACATTTATGGGCTACGGCTAGTGACGATTAGACTCAAAACGTGATTGCGTATTTGCGTATCGCCAATAATCGCAATTTACAATTAATAATAATAATAATATAATAACATACCACTATTATTAGAGTACTTTAATGATACCATATTCTATCGGATGTTATCTACCTGGGTTGAATATAATCCGGTAACAATATGAAATTGAACGCGGGCTGTCGATCGTTTTTCATCCATGAAAATCTAAACGTTTTGAAGTCCATTGAGGCATTGACTTGACTATTCAGATTCAGACTATTCAGAGCATTGAAGCCTGGAGGTAATCGTAGTTAGTGTAGTTACTAGTTTTATATTGTTTTGTGTTATTACTCATACAAATATCTAATCATAGACATATACAGACTGTTTATACGTACATGTATCCCGGACCCCCGTACGCCGTACATAAAATGCCTCATGCCTGTATATTTTGTCATGCCGAACACTTCGTTGCCCATAAAAAATGCTACCTCTTATGATTTTATTATGATTTAAATTTGGTTCAATTATACTCGGGGTAAGAATCTAAAAACTGAAAAAAAGAAAAGATTTAATCTTGGTCAATTTTTTAAGCACAATATTTAATTTTTTAACCTGGTGCACATTACACATTGATTTTTTGATTGTATTGGAAACAGTGCTCGACTTGGGGGGGGGGGGACTTAAAATTTTTAACACCTCTAACATTGATCTATTCACGTGTAGCACAGTTTTGTAATGTAGAAAGTAGAACACTAATATAATATAGATAAAGAAAATAATTATATATATTCTTCAATACAATTTTTTTTTAATTTATACAATTTTGGTTGTTCAAAACATATTTAATATACTCGTTTTAATCATATACCCTACTAAATTAATATATTCTAAAATTATCAAAATAAGCTTAATGTATATTATCCAACGTTAACATATTCTTCTATATAATATGCAGAATAAAATTGTAGCATTCATCATTTTGGAGATCATATTATATTACACACAAAACATAAGTAGGTACCTATACATTTCTCACGCATGTCATGATGACATTGTCATCCTAATGCTATTAGATTCTTTTTAAGTATGTAATAGTAATAGGTAACTATAAGTATAAGTTGTAATAAATTAAAATATTRATCTCCAATGATTGTTAGAGCAGGTTATAAGTAACTGGTATTTTGGCAGGTATTAGATAAAGTAAGTAGGTGTTAGGTATATCTACTAAGATATGGTAGAAAAAAAGATTTTCATTTGTTGAATAATTATCTGAGTAGCTGATAATAATGTAATTTTACCATTGTTATATTTATATCACGAAATGCGAATGTTATTTTATACACGACTGTTCGCTTATATTATTATTATTATTATAGTTTTTAAGGATTTTTATGACGGGTTGCATGTGCATGAATGTATCATTATTTCACGCATGTGCAAATGTGCTTGTGTGTGGTTCGCCTAAATAATACAATTATTATACTATAAACGTATGAAAATTCAAATGACAAATGAATAACAGTTCTCGTGGAAAAGTGCGGTGGTTGTTGGTTGAAATATATTCATGCAATAAATGAACAAACATAATATAATAACTACACAGTAGTACAATATATGTATAATTTGTGTAGTATACATAACCTAGGTAATGTAGGTATATGACCGAATATACGAGAATACGATGAGAATCCATTCGTTCCTTGTACCGGCATGCGCGACTACCCCCGACTCTCGTATAAATTGTTAGTTGAAAGTTATTATACTTATTTATGTTCATGTTTGTATGTATGTGTGTATGCGTGTGTCGACATTAATTGTATATCTGAGCCGGATGGGTTGGAATCGGTYGGGGGCAAAGGGGTTGGGCAAAAAAATATAGCATAMAAAATAGGTAAGTATAAATTCAAATAGGAATTCAATTTCTATACAAAGTAGTATTTTTTCATTTTAACTATATAACGCTATTCACGACGAAAGATAATGATGTATGAACATTGAACAGGATGCAATATTTTTAATAGTACCTAAACACTTAGTAGTTAGTACACATATAGGTACACACTACTACGTATCAAAAAGTATCAACGTTTAAAAAATATTCTTTTTAATTATTATAAGTCATTAGAACATTATATTTTTGAAAAAAGTAATAGTTTATCACTATATTTTTATAGTTATTATTATTTATGTCTTGAACTTTTGAATGAGATCATACATTTTTAATTTAATAGCTGAAGCAAAATATTTTTCTAAGGATTTCGAATTTCCGTCTTCCGTGTATAAAAATCGATCGAGTACCTATATAGGTATATAGGCATATAGCTAATAAGTTAAAATGTTAAATTATTTATCGGAATATTCGGAATGATGGTACAGGTCTCATAACAAAAGTATTGTTCTAAAATATTATGTGGATTGGAAATACCCTGGAGGGAGTGAATGGATTAGCAAGAGTGAAAATAAGTTGATTATTTGAGTGATTTTTCATATTTTTACGGAGTTTGATACCAGTAGTTACATCATTCATTACTCAAAATTCTCTGAAAAATATTTTAATTCTGAAGATAAAATTAATAATGGGTGTTCTCGCTCAAAAAATAAAAACTTCAAACATGATAACGATACAAAATAATAAACATTTTGTAGTGACTTAATAAAATGTTAAAACACATGGGAATTCAGTCAGAAAATGTGTATTATACATAAAGTATTATATAAATCTAGAATAACTGTTACTGTTTAATAGTGAACAGCCAATACCGACTATTATTAAATAGTAAATTATATTAACTGCAAATAGTAAATAGTAGCTTGAAGAATAAATGTTCATAAATTGAGGTACTTTCTACTTATTGGGAAGCAATGCATATACCAAAGACGTGTATACCATTTTGAAAATAATTTAATACAAAAAACGGATAAAATATAATTGTACTAATTGAATATTTCATCCATTAACAATTTTCCATGGAACATGAGTATTTTAAATTTGTGCAAWTATAAATATAATTACAATTGTTTTCTTGTCATTAATTAGAAAAAGTTTTCATTATAACTAGTTATAAAATATTCATATTTATTAGGTTTTCGTGCACTTAATTAATATCCTTGGGAAGTGGTGGGTGATGCTTAGTTTTTTTACTATACATATTTCTATACGAATTACGAATATATGAAATATCAATAGTCTGCAGTAAATGTGTATCGTTTACTAAACTACGAAGGTCTTTTCTAATTATTTTAGATGGGATTTGGTTTATTTTGCTTTCAGAAATTTTTAGATTGATATTATTTTTTACGGCTTAATGTTCAATTAATATTGAATCTGATTCATGGTTTGTACCAAAAATGATTTTTCTTGTAGAAGAGTTTTTTTCTTGCTGAAGAATAATTTTTCCTTAAATTTTTTATTTGTAAATTTCTATGTTTTATAATCACTTATTTTCTATTAATTTTGAAATTTGAATTTAAAATTGTTCGATACATTTAATTGTTTGCTATTCTGGGTATATATTGTTGTAAATTCCACCGTATTGGATTAAATATTAAACTTCTAACTATTTCTACTGACATCTAACACTAGTAAGTAGGTACTAAATAGTATTATCAAAAGTTAGAACTTAAAAATAAATTTAGATTCCTTACTAATTTTTACCATTTGTACCCAAGACACAATAATATAACATAAATAATTAAACGATATACAAAGACAAGTACACATAACCAGGTATATTTAATTTAATAATTTAGGTATTTATATAATATAGTAGTATTTTATATTATAGAACGTGTATAAAAAAATTTCCGCAGTTTGTATAGTKTTAATTTTTTTTTTCCAGTTTACACACCGACTTAGAAAGAGGTTAATTTTTTCACAGTTTACATACAGCCTAAAATGTGGTTGCTATAACGTTCATTTTCTCTTGTTAGTCGTTGTACAAAATTATTATAATATGTTTAAATGTTAGAACTAATTAATTGTAAATATACGAGAACCTTTTCTGTACATTTTAAAACAAGGAGAACATTTTCATGTTTTTTTGAAAGTTTTGATTTTATTATAACTGTAGAAATTATATATTTAATTAACATTACTAATAAACATTTATTAAACATTGGTAAAAATTCAAAAATCCTTTATTTAATAAATGTTTATGAAATTATATATTTAATTAAACGCCATATAATTTATGTTAAAGTTTTATATTTTCTAATAAATGTTTTTTCTATATCTATATGAAAACATTATATTTTAAACCACCGTATGGAATCGTGTTGCAGCTAAAATGTATGATTGCCCAGAAATAGTTATGGGCACAATTTTCTGTTTAAAGTAAATGTAACATAAGTGAATTATTTTTCTATATCTCCAGAAATGTTTTAATTTTTCTAATGAATCATTTTTATTTAGTTTAATGGTACGCCCCTCTTGTGCTATTTAGATGCCATGGCTCGCCTCTGTACATATAATCTAACTTGATTCCCGCTTCACATGGACGCGTAGTACGTACGCGGAGCGTTTCAATTTACATTGTTTAAAAGGACGTTACACTGACATTTGCTATCTCGGTATCTCCAATGGATAAAATAGAMAAACCTAGCAAGGAAATCATCATCATAGCAGACATAGTGGGTGTTTGGTTAAAAGTATCACCTATAACTTAAATCTAAATGAACAATTTGGTGCAAAACCAACATTATGTTTGATATTATATTACAGAACCAACTCTAGTTCAAAAAAATATTTTCTTAAAATTTCGTAATTATCTATTTCATTAAATTTGTAATTTTAGTTTGAAACTCGCAACGAAAAATAAATATTTTATAATAATGATGAGTAATAAATGATACAACACAGCCTAATTTAAATTCAATTTATAAATAAATTCTAACCTAATATTATAGGGGGTTCTGTTTCTAATTTCGTGTAGAAATGTTTACGAAATGGTTTTATAATAATTGTAATTATTATAAAGAAAATATCTTACGTATAATACTCAAATACAGTCAATGGATGTTTATGATTATTATCTTTAGTACCATAATACCTCTTCTATTATACAAATAAACACAAAAACTTAAAACAGAAAAATAGCTCGCTATTGATAAAAGTTAACTGTTAATTACTAGGTATCAAATAATCGCAAATGTGAAGATAATGAAATTTTTTAATGCAGCACAACATATATTTTTCCGGATCTCCATATATTTTCTTGTTTAGATGATTAGTATAATTTTATTTTACACGTGGAATACATTGAATATAATTCAAAAATAACATTTTTTTTAATAAATACATAATACTAAAAAAGTAAAAAGTAAAATGTTGATATGTTTTAAGTGACTTACGTAATTCCTAATAATTTAATAATTCCTATGTATCGCAATGMGTTTGTTTTTCGAAGGCAAACATTCATTGGCTCTAATGAGAGGAAATAATAAATATCTTTTGAAACACTTTGATCTGCGTCTTGATCGGGATAATGATGAGACGTCGGGCGTGATACAGTAATATTTTGGGTATACCTACTTACTAACTTACCTATCATTTAGCGACCAAGAGCAGGCTCATAAAAAGAGAGTACCTAAACTACCTACGTCCTACAACYTATCTATGTATAAATGTAAATCACTCGGTATAGGTATAATATAATTCACATTGAAATCGTTCGCGGACCGACCTCAGTATAATCCATTTGTGGTCATCGGGTAGCTAGCGAGTGATATTATGTCAATAGTGGGTGAATGATGGGTGGGTATACAATATATATATATATATATATATTATTGTATCATTATTATTATTAAAGTATATACACAGTTTAATAATGCACATATAACCGGAATAAGTGTATGGTATAACATCCAAGCCGCGGTTTTTTGTGTTTTTGAGAAGAGGGCGGTGCTGTCTCGCGGGTGCAACCGACCAAGACGCATACCCACAGTATACGTATACCTATGTACGGTCCTCGGGTACGGCGGCGGTAGCGGTGGCGGCAGTCGGGCCGTATATAAGAACGCGAGCACGGTAAGTGACTCGTCTCAGTGTCTTCCATTAAGTCCGTTCGAAACAACTTCGAACGCCACCGCCGCCTTATTGATATACGGAAACACATCAACTACATCGTGATAATTGGCATATACTTTTCATTCGCCGAAAACCTATACAGGTACATAGCGTTTTACTGTTGAGTTCGGAACCACTGCAAACGACTGTCGAAAATGGTAAGCGGATAAAAGATTTTTTATGTAGTTGAAAAAAAAATTGTTTTCTTATTATTATAATTATAATTATTATTGTTTTTCCCGTCATTCAAATTTTATCGGAAAGACTTTTGAATCGTTACGCCGCCGACGTTCCGGAACGTTCGACGACATTAGTCACGATTTTCTTCGTCTTTTTTACCGCGCACTTTCCATTTGGGAAAATTGTCATTTCCCGGGACATTGGTTACGTCTTACACTAAAACCGTCGCTAATCGATTTGACAGTTCGTCGTCTGCAATGGAGAATATATTATTATACATAGTATTACATACCTGTAGATACATTTAATGCTGCACATCTGCGGTTTTCACTTCCTTTTAGATTCGTTGTTTCTGTAAATCCACTTCTATGAGTACTGCAGTCGAAGGATAGTAAAATAAAAACACTTATTAGTTATTACTTATTATATTATACATTTCTCATACATAATATCTTCCCAGGACTTGAATAAAAACCATTTTTTCCATTTATTAATTTTTATTGTTTCAACACATTTTTTGTTTTTTAACAAAGGTTTTAACAAATATAAGTTAAAGCTTATAAATTGTGGTTTACATTAGAAATGTAATTTTTGAATATAAAAATAACAGAAGATAAAATGTAATTATTTTGAAACACCCTTATATATTATGTATCATACCTAACTATGTTATTAGTGTAGTAATATATTTATAATATATAGTGTAACTATATTGTGCGTATTTACATGAGTCCGGAAAGTAAAAACCATTAATTCAACACGAGTGAACGAACCCCGCTGTAGAGTATAGGTACGCGTATTGTACACACACATAGACATTTTATATGTTGATGACGTTCGTTATATATTATATCAGCAGCCTGTCATACAGGTACGCGTACATGTGCATGTGTAACAAATCGCTAATAATTGCGGCGGACACCGTGAGCGTATTGAACGTATACGCCATCACACCACATTATATTTGAGTGATAAAAGAGCTATATAGTGCTATTCATTCTATGGATGTCGTGGGAACAGTTAAAATGACGGAAGGTCTACGGTTAAGAGATTAGCTATTTCAGAAAATATTGTTCAAATTTTGAATGTACCAATGTTATTAAAGAAGGAAAAAATATAAAACTATAAATCCAACAATATCCAAGGAAATTATTAGGCGATACATTACAACGACGGAAACATTTTTTTTTTATAAAGTTTTTTGTTAATTAAAAACTAAAAAATATTTTACTAATAGTCCCGTGGTATGTTTTTAAGTCCAACTATAAAATAATACTAATTATCAAGACATATTTTTAAACATGAATATCTACATACGAATAGCAAGTAGAAATTATATTTACTTTTAACACRCAATAACATTGATTCTAATTCAATTGAATGCATTATATCTGAATAATTATTATTGTACATATTTGTTTTATAATCTAGCTATTTCTACTTCATATCATACTAAAAATGCTTACATTTTTATACAACAATTTTATTGATGTTTAAACTTGTCATCTAAGATCTGAGTAAATATAATACAATAAATATAATCTTAATTTAGAATATAAATATTTGCATCTAGAAGAATGTATACTTTCAAGAATTTAAGAAAAGTGGGTATACTTCAACTACGCTATACTTTTTGAACAACGTAGTTGAAGTATTTTTATACAAAGTATTGATTGATTAAATATCTAGCTTGATAAACGTTACTATAGAACAGTAAAATTTATACATTTATAGAACTTTATCCACTACATTTATGTACTTCAGTTCTTAATAACAAAATTATTTTAATAAATGCAAAAAATGTTAATTCAAAAATAATTAATTTCTAAATGCTTTGCACATTAATTTAGAAACTCAGGTTATAAGATTAAAAATCGAATTCATTTTATTTTTTAAAACTTAAAATGTATTTTTTGATGACAAATAATTCCAAAATTAATATAATTTTCACCTTTTATTTTAACTTTTTTTAAATTTCTTACAAGAATAAAGAATTTGTGGTATATAATACATGTATAACATTTTGGTATATTATAAATATATGTTATTCTAACTTTATCTTGGTATATTATTTTTTTTATTAGTTAAATATGTGATTGTGATAGGTATGGCTAGTATAGTGTAAGTTTTGTTTGAGAATAAAACTTTTTGTTATTAGTATACCTATACCTACCTTTAGACTATGATCAAAATAATGTTGCATTTAAGTAAAGACTGTATATAGTGTACACACTGTACACTATACATAATGACCCGTCAATTAAAACCGTGACAGAAAAAGCTATACGTTTCTACAAGATCTTTCATGCTCGGCTGCAAACACACYAAAACCCACTCATTAAAAACCTATCCACCCAAACATTACCTGGCAATCCCAAGCGTCGATTAAAAAGGAGCTGGTGCCGTGACTTGCTAGGGCGAACTAATATCAAAAATCAAAAAAAAAAAGAAGAATCAGTATATATAAATATAGCTAGTTTCATATAACTTCCAGTCAAGTGCCATTAGTGGGTGGCTTCTTACTCATGTACTCATGTACTTGATGTATTATTGTAATTTGTAACCCTTATCAAACATGCTAATTGTGCATAATTGTACAGATTGTATATATTATTGWGTAAAAAAAAAAGTAAAGACTGTTTTGCGTGGCCCCTTAAAGTTTCCAATATTTTTGTTGTTAACAAATTACGATGTAATCATATGAAGTAGTGTTTATATTACGAGATTATATGGAAATACTTTATGATGGAATACTCTTTCTATGACTTATTTCTGGTTTAGTTTTCATTATCATATTTTTTGTTAGATATWATAGGCATATAACAAAATGTATTTTAAAATGATTATGCGCATTCTATTACATTATTAATGTTTAAATAAATTAGATTTTTTTCTTATTTATTTTAATTTTATTTGTTGTCAATTTCCTATAAATACTGTAAAGTGTTTAGAATTATAATTTAATACTTTATTAAGTAACATTTTTTCAATACTTAGTATCTTCTATGTGAAAGTAATGAAGATAAATGTTTTAAGTTTGATAAATGACTATTAACTCCGATCATAATATGTCGTAAATAGTTCAATAGGAAATATAATAAAAGAAAAACGTAGGTACACTTTAGAAAGAATTGATGAGCTGTAATAAAAAATGGCTTTGTATTATATATTGCTGATCGCATTCAGTGRCTATATTCACTATTTAGTATTGAGTAGGTATATAGGTTAATTCAATGTGTATAGGAATGTTTTAAAATTATTATGAGTTTTATACTAAATATCATATTATGATAATATGAGGTTCTTAATACATAAATACCTTAAAAATATAGTGTCATGTTGTTATTGATAAATAATAATCATTGTGAATAGTAAATTATTAAAACCATCACACATAATAATAGTAACCATAATACGCATCCATACGATTTAATACTATTTAACACGAGTGATCAAAAGCCATTATTGGGTTATTGTGTGATGGTAATTTAAGCAGAGATGATTTGTTTTGCAATAATAAAATAGGTAAACAAATATGTAGATATATTAGGTTTCATTAAAACAAGAAAACAACGAGAAAAAGAAGTTGTTTAGTCATCTGCATGCAAACTACGATAAGCTACATAAAAGCATAATAGGCGTAAAATGTTTTTGTTTCAACGAGCACTGGCTGCTGTATTAATAAATACATTGGGTTCAAAAGGAGTTCCATGCGTACTTTTATAACATCGACAGCATAATATAATAAATGAAAACAATTCCGTTATATCGGAGTTATCGGACGGACATGTGTTAACTAAGTTTTAGCAGATGAAGTAAAGAGAAACTTAAAATAAAACACTTATTATACAAGGGATAGGACCAGAGAAATGTGGATCCTTTATTGGTGATTCCTTGATTCTGCCATTGTGACATAATAATATGTGTTTTATTATTATGTYAGAGGATGATTACACAGACATAAACTAAGGCACCTTTAGTAACTGAAAATWTCATGATATATTCTATTACCTAGCTATAATATAGTATTAGGTCATCTAACTAATGTAATCTGATCCTTTGCTTATTTTCTGTTTTAAAATAAAAACGCATATTTTTAAGAAGAAAAAGTACCTATATATTCTTTATTTTAACTTTAAATTATTGATTTACATGATTCCATGACAATATGACATATATATACATTGTAGTGCACATATTGTGTAGAATATTTTTAGTAATACAATCATATGGATACGTATTAATAAGATATTATAAATTGATAAATACTTGAATTCAAATTATATTKATGGCAATAAATTCTTCACTATAACATTAATTGGRTGTGGACTGTTGAAATGACATAATATATGTATAGGGTTTTGTCTATTTTATAGATATAAACGTTTATTGAGATTGTTTTYAGGGTTAATGTCGATATAATTATTAAAACAGTAGWTCTAGTAGAATATTACGTAGCATGTATAAGTAACCAAAATGACTATATTATGAACTATAAGTCATCATGGTGACTCGAGGTTAATCTATGCTAATACTAACTAAGATTATACGTATTGGAAGAAGCTTACTAAGATAAAAATAAAATCATTATTCATGTATATCTTATGAATTCTGTAGAAATGTAAAATGCTTTGAAAATAATAATTGTCTATTTCAATTTCATCTTCATGCTATATATATCAACCTTTGCAGCTTCTTCTTYATTGCTGTAAAATACAGATAATATCATATTATGGAGCAATTTAATGGGGAAGCCGGGCCTCGTCCCCTCCCAAAAATTACTCYATAATATATCGTTGTCGAAAGTCGAGTATTCGGATATAGATAATTGTAAAATTAAAAAAATTCTGGTCTCTATATAAATATAAATAGTATAATATTTATTTGGCACATCCAATACGTTTTTAGTAAGAGGACGCCACGCCCGCATATGGTGTCTCCGTCTTACAAACGTATAACATAGCAAAATCTGTTTAGCGCGGGACAACTTTTCTCCCTCAATATTTATAATAGAATTTTCAAAATTTCACAACGCATAGGTCAGAACTTTATCTGTGTCATAGCGTCGTTATTTTTTTGATAGCGCAAACCAATAATTTTAAGTAATTTAATGAAAAAATAAATGTATTTTCTTAAGCTTATAACTTTAATTATATTTATGTTATCAAAAAAATAACGACGCTATGACACAGATAAAGTTCTTACCTATGCGTTGTGGAATTTTGGTAATCCTACTATAAATGCAAAGGGAGTAAAGTTGTCCCGCGCTAAACAGATTTTGCTATGTTATACGTTTGTAAGACGGAGACAACACATGCGGGTGAGGCGTCCTCTTAAGTTACAATATTAGTGTAAACGGGTTATCTTAGGATCGTTTAAACGAGCATTTTCCGTGTATACGTGCTTTTATATTGCAGTTCTACGTACAAATGTACGGAATAAAAAACAAAGATATATTTATCATTATTATCATTTGATACCAAATTTCGTCTTAATAGTTGTTCGTCCATGGCCCCCATGCAATTATTATCCGCCGAGCCCAACCGCCTATATCGTCCGGTATAAACTGCGTTACTCGTCCTTATATTTATATACGTATTATAGTATTATATATTTTTATATTTTATATGTATATATACGGACTATTATTATTGTTATATAATATGCTCGTCAAAACCCATATAATAATCATGGCAATTGTTTTCATTTACGATTTCTGATGTTTCTTATTTTTATTATCACCGTTGTCCTTATATTATATTATAATTATTTTTTCACCATATCCGACAGTGAGAGAATAGATACCCACACACAGACACACACCCGCGTGAGCGCGGCAGTTTATACCTAATTCATCGCCGCTCCCGTCCGGGAGGTGACAGTATGATTACGATATTAGATTTATATTCAATGTATATATAAGTTTAATGTTTATATAATATGTATTTAGGTACTGTGCGTCGTATGGCGGTTTCCTGCGTTTCAGAGATGATTCGCAATTTGATTTTCTCGTTTAATCGGTTACGGTGGGATTACGATAATATTTAGTCTTCCGTTCACCACGACGTCTCTCGTATATATTATCATTGCCTCCTCGCTTAGATTTCTGTCAAACCTTTTTCGGATCGCTAGTCATCTCATGACTCGAAGACAGTGGTCGACAGCGACACACAATACATAATAATAACAACACTGTAATATTATATAGAACGTACCAAATCTGAAGTCATGGTTTAACGTGTTGCCATAGTCGAGTGTAAATATTATACTGCAGAAATAAAGCCATTAGAGTATAACAAAAATAAGTAATTAAGAAAAATAAGTAATTCGGATAAAAACAATACAATGTGTTTCCGTTCATTATTACTATTATTTTTGTTCGTTTTTGCACTTTAACCAAACATCCAAACCTATCAAAATATTTATTTATATATAAAAAAAAAATTGACATGATGGGGATGGTGGTGACAGTTAGTAACGTAGTTGGAGCTCAATCAAGGGGGGGGGATATTTAAAAATTGTAATACACCACAAAATATTGTGAGTAATTCAAAATTTTCCATTTATTAATTTTAACCCTACATTAATGATTAATGTATACTGTTTAACTAATTATTGCTTACCATTTATTTGCTGTTAAAAAAAAATAAATGTATGATATACATTTTATATTTAAATCCTGAAGATATAAAGATATAACCGTGATTAAATCAACAATAAAAATACCAAGGGGRGMCATACACCCATGGCCTCCCCTCAGCTACGCCACTGTGAAGTTACGGGTACCTTAGCTGAAGGTGAATCTATAAATATTTCACTGAGGAGAGAAATTGTATAAAGTATTTTTATTTTTTTTTGGGGGGGGGATGTAGCTAATCGACTACAAAAAAAAATTTTCGAATCAAGTCGAATATTCGCTAAACTCTATATAGTAATAATTCATATAATAATAATTTAATACAATATAGAATTGGGTGAGTATTCGACTCGGATATTTTTTTAAATTTGATATATTATTGTGATATAAATTAAGACCCAAGGTTCATAATAATTAGGTAGATACATAACTAGTAGTCATTGGCGTGGCGAACTCGAATATTTTCAGAGGCAAGTATATTTTGCGATACCCAGCCACCCACCCACCCATCGACCATAATTTTGTATTTCAATTGGAAATAGAGTTGGGGGGGGGCTGATTGCTTTTCATAGACAATTGTACTTATTAGGTAGGTAGGTAATAACCAACTAATGGTTAGTAACCACTGCCTACTGGATACTAGCTTTCGTTTATATCTATATTAGACAATATTAAAATATCATTTTATGTGTTATTTTCCTAAATTCGTTATTATGAATTTAAATTATTTCCCATCCACCCAGTGTCACCCATCACCCACCAGAAAAACCTGAGAGGCGGCCGCCTCTCGATTACCCCCATCGCCACGCCACTGCTAGTAGTTACCATAGGCGGAGCCAGCATTCACGTTCAGGGGGTGCAAATATTTATGTCCCTCTCCCTCTAAAAAAAAAAAAATTAAAAATTAACACGTGGACTGCCATGCGGCCGCCGGCGTCCGTATAATAATAATTAAGTATTGATAATTTTTAGACCGCTGGCTGCCGCACCATATCATTCGTAGGAGGCCATATAGCCGCCGGCTGCCGTAAATTAATTTGGATTTACATTATTAACTTTTCCGTGGCGCTACAATAATGATCTTGAAATATGCTGTAGCGTAGTGGTAATAATTTCAATTTTTTTTATGCAATAAACATAGTTTTAACATTTTTTTTTGTATTTTTAATTTTTTTTTCAAATTCAATAGTTTATATACCTACAAATACAAATTTATAATGACACTGAAAAATGTCTTTGGCCTTTGGCGTACCCATGATAAATATTCTTGAGGCCACCAATACTATACTTTATTATAATATTACAATGCCAATCACAATATCATACAACGTTTGAACTCCACACTAAATTATGCGTTTAGGGGGTGCCATCGCGGCATCGCATACCCTGCACACCCCCTGGCTCTGCCTATGGTAGTTGMTTCTACAGGTTAAAAATGTTAACCTATAAAATATTAAATGTGTTTTTGTAGTAGATAGGTAATAAGTATAACATAACTCTACACTGGTGCGTCAATCAGAAACAACATCCACAAGAGGTCACATTTCACATGATTTTTCACTATATTTTATGATAACAATATTTCACTAATACTAACAGCTATAATAGTCCTGATGAATTACATGGTTGATGTTAATATCATATAATTTCCAAAAAAAAATAAAAATAAAAATAATATCTATTTAAAGTATTAATGTTTTTCCTTATCAAACATTTGTTATTTAAAAATATCATAAAACCTATATGTGCCATTGCAAAATGTGTCTGGGTAGTGGGCACTGAAAAAGTATGAAACAATAATTCTAATTAAATGTCATAAAAAATGTTATTTGTGTTGAAATTTAAATAATATAATTTTAATAAAATCCAATACAGATATTTTATAATTTTTTTTAAATCTTTTATATATTAAAAAATAATACTTGACCGCCTACTATTTTTGTAGACATAATATAAAAAGTCTGAAGTTAAATACCGCTTGGCATAATATCTAATTTGGTAATGTAGGTAATTATAATTTATAAAATATATATAATAGCACCAATATTAATGTTCAGCTATTTTAACACGTACATTTAAAAAAAAGCTTATATGCGTATGAGTAGTATAGTATGACTTATTTTATATTTATATTATAAACATTTTTGATTGACTTTTTAGTATAACTTTTTATAATATAAATGTATAATATAATTATAATTTATAGATATATTATAGCACCAATCAATATTTGATTATTATCAGCTAGAATTTATTAATTTAATACACTTTAATTATTTTGGCTTGTTCATATACTATTTATAACATTTTTTTTTTACTTTTTACCTACTGTTAAATACAAAAAAATTAAATAATAGTTAAATCTAATCGAACTGTATAACATTGTATAGATTATAAAATATATACTTATATTTACATAATATTCATAATAATATTTTTAATAATATTTGCATAGTACGTACTACGTACATACTTCATGTGTATATTATAAGAGAATAGAAAAAAAAAAATGTTATAAAAGAAAATAATTTACTATTAAAAAAAAAAAAAAAAAAAAATGAACTGAGATAAATGTCTGAGTTCTGAAATGAATATTTTTATCTGTCAAAGTGACAAAGTGATTGTTTACTGAATTTTAAGCCCAAATCAAACTAATTTTGACCACTCGATATCATGTAAAACCATAAATCAGATTACTATTGAAAATAAKTGTTTAATTTAGTTAAAAACTGTATCAACAATGACAATTATAACCACTTCAAAAACAAATAATACTTACCTGAATTTTAATTTCTAATTTAAATAGTCCAATACCTAGTCATCCGATATTATAGAAGAACGTAATCTATTATTTGCATGTCATGCTATAATTTATTCACCGGAARWGAATTACACGTTTTGTTCGATAAAAYAATTATTAATATTACTTATTATGGATTTTATTTTTAGCGCGAATGTATATCAGTACATATTGGCCAAGCTGGTGTCCAAATCGGTAACGCGTGTTGGGAATTATACTGTTTGGAACATGGAATTCAACCTGACGGACAAATGCCATCGGACAAGACGATCGGTGGCGGAGACGATAGTTTCAACACATTTTTCAGCGAGACTGGAGCTGGTAAACATGTGCCGAGAGCTGTGTTCGTCGATTTGGAGCCAACCGTTGTCGGTAAACAATTTTTAATTTAATTTAAATTTAAATTTGATTTTTAAAAACTTATGACACTATTATTTTTATAAATTAATTAAGTTTTTGAAGTATTCGCCTAGAATGAAGCTCAATTCTATTTTTTCTTTTAATAATAAATTTAATCAAATTATATTTTTTGGAATTTTTAAGCATACTTACAATTTACCTCAGATATTTCTGAGTAATTTTTTATTCTGTCTATTTATTTCTTCTTCAGCCTTACCCTTATTATCTATTCACCTTCTCTTTCTTTCTAGGTTTATTTTTATAGTCGCTCTCAGTCACTTCTACACATAACGTTGGTTATACTGTACACTGCGTACTGCACAATGTTCCAATCCATACACCATTACTATTCTCAAATATGTCTTATAAAATGTACTAATAATCTAACAGAATCACAATTAACCATATTCATCACACGCCTTCCATTATTTTTTTAAATTGCCTACTCTTCCAACTTCCTCCAAAATCATATAACAGAGTCACTGTTTTACTCACACAACTTGGTACTTAGTTCCTTCCTTTCAAGCTCTGCAGTTCTCCACTATGATATAACGAATCATATCGTATATAATATAATATTATATTATTTATAACATATTGAATCATCGCGTATATGTTGTTGCTTTAGATGAAGTGCGTACCGGCACATACAGACAACTGTTTCATCCCGAACAGTTGATCACTGGCAAAGAAGACGCGGCTAACAACTAYGCCCGTGGCCACTACACGATCGGAAAGGAGATCGTGGACATAGTGCTGGACCGGATACGGAAATTATCTGACCAATGCACCGGGTTGCAGGGTTTCCTGGTGTTCCATTCCTTCGGTGGTGGCACCGGTTCCGGGTTCACGTCACTGCTCATGGAACGACTAAGCGTGGACTACGGGAAAAAGAGTAAGTTGGAGTTCTCCATTTACCCGGCGCCACAGGTGTCAACTGCCGTAGTCGAGCCCTACAACTCCATACTGACCACGCACACCACACTCGAGCACTCAGATTGTTCGTTCATGGTGGATAATGAGGCCATCTACGACATATGCCGCCGGAACCTGGACATTGAACGGCCCACGTATACTAACTTAAACCGATTAATTGGCCAGATCGTGTCTTCCATCACAGCGTCACTGAGGTTTGACGGCGCATTGAACGTCGACCTGACAGAGTTCCAAGTAAAAGAATCATAATAAATAATTTTCATGTGTATGACACTCGTGTTATATTGTTGTTATTGTTTGGATAAAATTTATGATATTTTGCTGTCAAGTTTCATATTATTCATCTATTTCATCTCGTGGATAGTAAATTAAATAGGCCCTATAAGAATATATTAAGTCAAAATTAAATATATTTTAGGTAAGTACAGACTTGGTCAATGATAGTACATCTGACTTWAAGATAGGTCCCTAGGAATACTTGAAACATTCTTTGAACACTAATTGGGTGTGGATACAGCTCTAATGGGTTAACTTTTTAGAAAAATTTATAAAAATAATAACGTATATCGCGTCTATCTGGTTTGTTATAGACGAATCTGGTGCCGTACCCGCGAATCCACTTTCCGCTGGCCACATACGCACCGGTGATATCAGCCGAGAAGGCGTACCACGAACAGATGACCGTGGCCGAGATCACCAACGCTTGTTTTGAGCCGGCCAACCAGATGGTCAAGTGCGACCCGCGGCATGGAAAATACATGGCGTGTTGCATGCTGTATAGAGGCGATGTTGTGCCGAAGGACGTGAACGCGGCCATTGCCACCATCAAGACAAAGAGGACCATACAATTCGTGGACTGGTGTCCAACCGGGTTCAAAGTGGGTATCAACTACCAGCCTCCGACGGTGGTGCCGGGTGGTGACCTGGCTAAAGTGCAGCGGGCCGTGTGCATGCTGTCCAACACAACGGCCATCGCTGAAGCCTGGGCCCGGCTTGACCACAAGTTTGACCTGATGTACGCGAAGCGGGCGTTCGTCCACTGGTACGTGGGCGAAGGCATGGAGGAAGGCGAGTTCAGTGAGGCCCGTGAGGACTTGGCTGCGCTCGAGAAGGACTACGAGGAGGTGGCCACCGATTCGGCGGACGGTGACGATGGAGACGAATACTAACAACCACCTACACCACCTCAACCGCCATTACCGCCGCCGTTTCAACATCAGTCGTTCGATCCCGCAGACAACGATCTCTCTGGTCACAGAAATTTCCGTCCTCGAGTCTCGCTCGTACGATGACAATTATAATAATGAAATAATAAAATAGTAACAATAACAATAATAGTCAGTACTCGAATTGGAAAAATTAAAAAGAGTTGATATTATAATAAGTCGTGAAAAAATTGTGTCTATTGCAATGATTGAACTCATCGTAGACAACTCTGACCCTTTACCCTCCTCTGATTCAAGCTCTGAATATTAATCATTATTATAAACATCTTAAAAACAATACATAATAATATATAGGTATTAAAATTAATTTCCTCAACTGACAACAGACGTGTTACCTATTGTTGAAATGGCTATTTTGAATTTGTTTTTCAAATCCTATACTATAAATAGCTTTTAATTCTGAAAATCGAATAATTTACTTACATTAACACTCACAACTAATCGACCATCTGTCTATACATACATAACATTAATACACGGTGCTTATTTTATATTAGCTATATTATTTATATACAAAATTGTATATTATGCGTTGATCGGTGGTATAATGGACTGCATAATTTTTGTATGGTGGAGGGGGTGGGTAGAGTTCATAATTATCAACAAATTATTCTATAAAAAAATAAAAATTGATAGGAATTTCACTAATGAGTATGTTTTTTCATTGTAAAATAATTTAAGAGGGCGATATTTGAACTTCCTACTCACGACTCCGTTGTTATCTCCGTGCGTATAATAATCAGACCGTTTTCATCATATATTTATTAGATAATATATTAATATATAGTATCTCCGCGTAAGTATAACGACTAACTGTACTTACTGGCTAACTACCTAACTACCTATACCTAAAGATAGTTCTATGCGATTTTATTTTATAAAAATTTTTTTTTTAGCTTAATATAATAACATTTACATATTATAACTTATTAATTATTATCGAGTTTCGAGTATATACGTTAACTAACATAGATATTAGAGTTTATACTATTATATATATAAATATTTTTAGTATTTTTACGATAGTTTTATAATATGTAATTGAAATGATAATAATTGTAATTCGCTTGTATACTATAATATTATTTAATGCTTATTACTCTCTTTGATAAAAACAAATGAATCAACAAAAAAATTAATTGCCTTTATTATAATAATATGTAGTGTGTCTGTGTGTATACCCATCTTACCCATTTACATGTGTTTAAACAAAATTTTCATTTTAATACATACATTTATCACAAAATATTCAAAATAACATATATTATGTATATAGAAAGTTGAGGGTTGTAGGGTCCTTGACAATTTTCAATACCTGTCTAATTATTTGAGTGGTAAGTATTTCAATGTAGATTCTGGAACGCTGAAGAAGTTGACAGTATTTGAATAATAATTTAATCCAGAAATTTAAAATATTAAAATAATTATATATGTATTCCTTATAGATACGCCCTTTAATACTTGTTCGGTTATTTTTATTGCTTTTTTATTGGTTTTTTAAGCTATTTCAATTTTAGATAAATATAAAAGACATAATGACATACATATTTAATTGTATTGTACATTATTGTATCTGCTCCGACGATGAAAAATATCAAGCATTTTTAATATAATATTTTTGTCTATTTGGCATGTCTTTATAGGTAATTAATTATTATGCGTTTGTTATGCATGAATAAGTAAAGTATTACCTACGTACTTTAACCAAGTGGAATGGTCTTGAAACACATACGCTAATCGGACAATAATTACATGGGTCATAGACAAAATAGGAATATTGGATTATCATTCATAGCTCATATTATGTAAGCATGAATTAAGATTTTTGAGTCCACGGAGCCAAATTTTTATAGGCCCCAACAATTTTAAACTAAAAAATATTGTCTATTATTTTATTTTATTTTTATAAAAACATTAAACATAACTCATGTACCAATATAGGTACCATAAATCTATTTATTTTAAAATGTTTTTTTCTTTGAAGCAAAATTTTGTAACATATCGTCGACAGGGCCGGATTAGCTACCGAGAAAATCTCGGTGGGCCGCTTAAAGTTAGGGCCGGTAGTATCTGAGTGTGGGTGAATAAATACATGTTAGGATAAGTAAATAAGTTCGTAACGATTTTGGACGTAATAAACCAATACAAAATAATAGACCCAAATTCTGGGCCAGTGAATATGTAAATGGGCCGCTTAGAAGTGAAAATCTCGATGGGCTGATATATACCAATCCGGCCCTGATCGTCGAAATGTATGACTGTAAAATATAATTTTCTAACTCAAATATCACAAGTTCAGTTAAGTTTTCTTGTGCATTGTATTGTACATTCTAAAAATGTTTTTAATTCTTCCTCGTTTTGAAATGCTTTTTTGGTATAGAACAAACTGTTCCTAGGTTAGGTATAGTTCAATAATTAAATAAATATTTAGAGCATGCAATGTGTTAATTTTATTGGAAAACACGTAAATTAATTCATTTTCATCGTTAGGTCCATTTGATCAAGATAATCCTATTTTTTTTTCTCCATATAGGTACTTTCTTAAGATATGGATAATTTTCCTTTTGAGTTCTTCCATTTCAATATTCTACATCCATATATTATGAGATTTCACATATGATCCAGTTATTTCCATAAKATCCCATTTAAATACTTTTATATGCATCAGGTATTTCCATTTGAAATACTTTCATATGATTACCTACTTGTTATTATTGTTGAGGTCCATCTACTTCCATTTAATCAAGATATTCCCGTTTTTATTCTTCAAATATAGGATATGGATAATTTTCCATTTAAGTGCTTYCATTTATCTTCAATTATTTCAAATGTCAATGTTTTTGGAATCTGGAGTCATGTTCAACAATAAWAAAGCTTAGCGAGCAGTGTAGGGCAAAAGTTAAAAAGCGGGAAAGTCTTGAATGTCACTCTACTGTACAGTAGGTTACAAGTGGGTTACTATAATGGATGGAATTAAATTTGAATCCAATGATATTTTATCATTGTATACGAAAAACGATTCTGTGCGGAGACGGATTATCTGTCAAGGATTTATTATTATGATTGAAAATTACATATGCCTATAAATAGTTCAACTTAAGTCGAAATTTTTTGAAAATTGCATGGTGTATAGAATATACTTATATAAACATTCGGTGAAAATTGCATGTATTGATGGTCATTTGTTTTACTGCCCCAAAACGTGATGACAGACACACAAAAAAAAACACACACACATCATTGTAAAATCAATAAATTCCTCGCTCCGCTCAGAATCTAAAATTTTTTAACCTTAAAAAAAATAAATAAAACCTGTAGGTATTTGGAAAAGACACGAGCGGTAGATGCTGTCTGAAAGTTCCCGACCACTGAAGTAGACAATAGTAAAGGGTCATCATCATAAATATTATGCTAAAATATGTCCATTGATTATCAAATCATATATTATAATTAATTTTTATGTATATAATGAACAATGTGGAAAGAAAAACGTAACATAGCCATACTTTGGGGCGTATTTTTTTATTTTATTTTTGTGGGGGGGGGGCGTATTGCAGTCTGCAGAGTGTACATTTGCACACATTTTTTTAAAGCGCCTTCTTTAGCCTGCCAACAATAAATACATGCACCTAAATGCATGTAACTTTTTATTGTGCCACTATAAGCATGGGTAGGGTATCCATACAATTAATTACAGGTTAGGTTCGATTAGGTATTTTATTATTAAGGTACCTGTAAATTTATTTATCAAGTATAAATACCACTAGTAACCACAAAAAATTTATAAATATAAATACATCAAAAGCACAAATAGTTAGACTAAAATAGTAATAATTGTGATATTTTCAACAYAATATATCACCTGCCCYAAATACACTGAAGCACGCAAGATACTCCAAAATCCTGCATCACTCTATCAAGCCTTCAAGGATAAAAACACAGCTGCAATCAGTACATTTTTCCATAATATAAACACTAAATACCCATTGTAAATAATAATTATAATAATGCAGTAAAATGTATTCCAAAATTTAATGCACACATATAAATATATTTTTCTTTCTTTTTCTTGTATAAATTTTGATTAAAGTAGGCTAAAAACCTGTGTTGTTGAAGCCATAATAAACTTTAAAAAAAAATATAYATATATAACATTATATTAAATAAACTATACAAATATTCTAACATTTCACCTCAGCCCCTCAAAAAAAAAAAATAAATAGTTTTGTGGCTTGGTAGCGACTTGAAGTGCGCTAAAATAAAAAAATTGAAATTATGCCTCAGGTTAGGTCAGGTCAGGTCATTTCATCAATTGTGATAACTATGGCAGAGGATTTGTAGCTCTAAAAAAGCTCTAAATATGCAAGCACTTATGCACTAAAAAACCCCATAATATGCAATTAAAATATGCTCTTAAAATTTTTTTCTATCCTAATTTTAATCCTAATCGAATAAAAGCCCGCATGGTGTACACACGTATCTGTGGTGGGTGGTGATATCGTAGGTATAGTGACTTTAAAATCGTTATCGCTTAATGCCCGAGCACAGTCAAAAACCATATTAAACGACAAAAATTAAAATTAAATAAATTTTTATCCAAACATTATGACTGTATTGTATTGAAATAAAAATGTCACTGGAAAAAATCAATTCAAGTAAAATATGTCTCAAAAAATATAAAATAACGTATAAAAGTGTAAAATATGTCCTACAAACCAAAAAAACGTAAAATATGYATTTATATGCATAATAAAATTTYAAAACTAGCTTTATGGAAGCATGAAACGTATTTGTTTCACACTCTGATAATTTTGTGACTGTGCAAAAAAAAATATGCAAATGCTACAAGTCCTCTGCCCTAGTGATAACATTTGTTTTTTAAAACTTTTTTTCAATAAAGTATTGAATATATTATAAATTTATAACCTTTCAATACAATAAATATATATATCAAATACATGTATTTTTTATTTACTTAAATTAAGAAAAAGTGGATTCCTTAAATCTTAACACCCCTAAAAAACTCAAATGGTGGAACTGTATATTTGTTGACAGCGAAAAGTAGTATATTATACAATATTACAGTAATATGTTTGAAAAATGTGCTCTCATATTTAATGTAGAGAAAAATTATGAACTTTTTCTGCTAACTTGTGTGGCTAATAGTAATATACTATACACTATACAGCTATATAGGTATTCATATCACACAATATTTAAATATTTTGTATTTTTGTTTAACAGTCACAAATGTATCATAAACATGATCAAAATACATTTTTTTTTTAAATAGTTATAATTTTGAGTAAGATTAAGTGTATACTGAGTACAAAAAACAGTAGTTATGTTTTAATAAGTTATAATTACATGTGAACCATATAATAATTATAATACAATAATTTATAACTGAACCATTTTTTTTTAACAGTCACAAATGAACAATTTATTAGGTTTATGTACACAGATCAAAATATTTTAACAATAGTTATAATATTAAATTGATTAATATTCATATGATMATAAATCAAAATTACTCAATTTTTTTTAGAATAAGTCAGGTATACAGTACTATGGGACATATAGACGAAAATAACTTATAATAACATAKAAATAAGGAATAATGGATAAGAATAACCACATATTATGACCTTTGTCACAATAATCACGAGTGAATCAAATCATAGTTATGAATCATAAAATAAAAACTAAATATATTTATCAAAAACATATAACACAATAAAAATTATAAAAAAAATCACAAAAACACTTATTTTTAATTAAAACTTAAAAAAACAAAAGCAAACGTAAAAAAAAATATTTAATTTTTCTAAAAATAAAAATATAATAACTATTTATACAATGTAATTTACTATAATACTCAAAATTAGTAATGATAGTTTTGTATTTTTAATATACATAATATTTAAATGGAATAGTAATCTATGATAATCAATAATAGGGTTTTAAAGTAATAACAACAATATCATGTAAAAAATAATAATATAATAGTATGTATTATGTACACACAGTCATTATTGTAATTTGAACACATCTATAAAACAAAATATATTTGCATCATATATTTTGAATTGTGGATTAAACCACATTTAGTTAACTTAAACCTTTCATCAATTCATATCAATCACAACAGGGACTAATATATTTACTATATTTAATACAAGATTTTTTTTTTTTATTTCGTAAATATATGAAATATTATTATTTCTATCATCATCTGCAAATTAAATAAAAAGTAATTTTAAAAATACAAAAAAACTTAATACTAAAATGTAAAATGTTGTGATACACACACTAATAAAGAAAATAGGTATGTTTGAAAATACATACGAGTTTGAACAAAATTTATAAATTAAATAAATCATTTCACTAAAAATATTAGGTAAAGCAAAAGAAGACTTAACCAAGTAATAAATAATTATAAACATAAGATAAATAATGAGATTTTATAAATACAATAAATCGAATGACATGTTAAAAAAAATGGTTTGTTTCTATCACATATTGAGATTTAAAATATTTAATAATTTTTTATTCAATACAATTTAAGTAGTTTAGGATTTAATATTGGTATGTAAATAAATATTTACCAAATTTTTCCAAGAGTTGTATGAGGTAATGATGTAGATATATTATTTTCTTTCCAAGATGTTGTCCCTGGGTTGACGATATAAATGTTAATATAAAAATATTACATATTGAAATTTTCTTGTTGAGTAGCAGTCATTAATCCATTGGCGACAATTGCTGCWGACACAGCTTGATTAAATACATCATCACAATCTATTYCTGGTGGTTTACTTGGAGGTTGTGACACAATCTAAAATTATGGAAAACATCTATTGACTGGAATATAAATTATATTAGATGATTATTTAGGTACTAACGGTTATATTTTGCAATTGCGGCTGATGGAAATTATGACTCTGCAGACCATGTTGTTCAATAGCCATTTGTACAGCAGTATCTTCCAATACACGTCCATTGTCAGATTTCCGTTGAAATTCAAGCCACAAATCCTTAACCCTGTTGGCTTGCTCAACAAGATGGTTGAGTACAGCTGATCGGTGAGAGGCTATTTCCATTTCTACATTCAAGTGATTGTCAAGTATACAAAGGCCGTGCATATGATGCTCCCAACGCTCTTGTCGTTGGCGGGCAGCTTCGTCACGTGATAGGTCGTCAGTCATTTTATTCTGTTTAATCGGGAAAAAGAAATACAGATGTGTACTTTAAGGTAGAACTTCAAAAGATTTTGCGAGTATGAAAAGTAGGTTAAAACAGTCCTTGAACTGCGTCATATGTGTTACGTGTACGCCATTATAAACTTACTTGGTATGTGGGTAAACAAAATCGTTAACAAATTTGCCAGGACATTGTAAATTGCTTAACAACTTAAAATATATTTTTTTTTCAAAATTTACGATATAAATTCGGGATTCCAGAACCAGAAATGTTCTTAATTATTATTTATTATTATTATTGTTTTTGATAAGTCAATATTATTATACATTGATAATTATTATATTTGTTTCCATGATTTTATATAATATCACAATCACAGAATAAATTGATGACATGAAGAGAGAGATAGAGGTACTTATGGAGATCAAACTCCGCTTCTGATAACGTCCCGAATGAGTCGCACGGTTAAACGGTCACAAGGTGGCGCTGCGTATGCTAAAGTTCAAAGTTGCTACTTTAACCCGTTTGATATAGAATTATTCACGTTTTTTGCGTTTTTTGTAAAATGTATGCTTTATTTTGAACCATAACCCAATGTAAATTTTATAGCTCGTAAAATTGCGCATTCATACATGTGCATATGTGTATATTTCATTTTTTCCTCATCAATAATTTACCGATACAAATTCAATGAATGTAATCATGGCCATCGCTATGCTTAGCAGAATATCTAAGTTGACTTTATGATAATTAAATAGAAATATTACTTAATTTAGTACCTTTTATACATAATATGTACAAATATTTTATTATCTTATATTTATTTTTTTTGAACGAAATATTGTGATGTGCCTGGGTGTACCTACCTCAATTCTTTTATAATATTAAGCCGCAAAAGAATTGGTATTAAAACAAACTTACCGTATTTTGGGGTACTTAGCACCAAATTTCTCGTTTTCTTAACTTATGACATACACTGTCACTTTAATAATTATGATAGAATTTTACTTGTTTCACGGTCCTCTAGTTACATATGCTAAGAATGATTCTGTGTAAATAAAATTTGATCAACTTAAAAATTAATTTTTTTTATTTGGTGCAGTTTTTTTTTTTTTTTTATTATTAGTTACAAAGAAGGAAGGCTCCCAGCAGTGCCACCTGACAAGAAGTTAGGGTTTGAGTTTATTTATTTTATTTTTTATAATTAGGGTTTTTAATTTTTTTTTTTTTAAATTAA